TGTGTAATAGTCAAATGAAGAATAACTAGAAGCTAGAAGGCATAGGTCTGATGTGTGTCAGGGCGTGAGTCACAGCCTATCGTTAGTTTGACTGCCCAGACTCATGAGGGAGGCTGAACTCTGTCACAATCCACCGCGTTGTCTCATTCTAAGAATTTTACCACAAGCACTTACCACAGAAATGAATACGGTGATTTTTTTTTTCACTGTTAATTCCGTGGGTTTACCCTGCTGCAAGGTTGCAGTACAGGAAACAGTTCAGTACTAGACTTGACTCGTTAAATCTTATTTTGTATGTTTAATGTATGAAGAACCTAGTAAGAATTCAGTAGGGAGTCCAGCAGGTTTTGTATGAGGTTCTCTGTAATGAGTCATAGTTCCCATCGGTTTAATGGGTCTACTTAGAGAAGGGGTGCTCAACTTTTGGAGGAGCGAGGGCCACCTAAGTGATTTGGTACCCAGGCACGAGCCACAATGAAATGAAATGGTTCAGAATTTCAAATTTTATATTTTGTATAGCATAATGAACATTTTCCTTCTTCAGCCGCTGAATGTCGACGGGACGGGATGGGAGGAAAAGCCTGCTTTCAATGGTTGCAGGAGGAAATTGGAGAGGATCGGTTCCTGTATATGCCGCCTTAGCCACCCCTCTTGTCTTAGTGTAAAACAGAATGTGACAGGGAGGCCGCACAAGCCCCCTGGAGCATGGGACAGGGTCACCATTGCGACCCCTCACGCTTACTGTCCTGGTCCCCCTAAAAGGCTGCTTTCACACTGATGCTCTGCTGTTTAGCCGCATCGCAGGTGCAGCTCAGTGCACCTGCAGGTTAGCTGTATTTTGCCATTGACTTCTATTATATCTTGTGGGTATGGTGCACTTTTTTAACTTGCACCAAAACTACTGCATTCAGGAGTTTTGGTGTTCTTTCACAAAGTGCACCAAACCAGCAGGATATAAGAGTGCACTTGGTTTGAGGTCGAGGGCCACATCAGAGGTATACGAGGGCCACATGTAGCCCATGGGCCACAGGTTGACCAAATCTGACTTAGTGTATGTCATTATGTGAAGCCAAAAACACCTTTTTCTTGCTTTGGATAGAGTTGGAAAGGAGTAGAACTCCTGAAGGGTTTTTACTGCTATCAGGGACTCTGGATTACCCTCACTTCCTGTCCTACTGACAATGGTTTCATCAGACAAGACATGAAGGAAAATCTGTGACAGGGACGCAAACAAAAGCTGTCGTATTGAGACTTCCATGCCATCAGAATACACTGCTCAGTGCAGCCAGCTATAGCCGACGGTGCTGATCAAGCGGGGAAAATCCGACAGGCTGGCTGTACAGAAGTTGATCAGTAGATCATCTTCTGTACAGCTACAGTCCCCATACATGGATTGAAATTTGGCCTGTCCCTCATGAACTGGCAGAATTTCAATCCATGTATGGTCTGCTTTAGTGACATCATCACTGTGGCCAGTTACCCTTCACAAGGAGAGGGAGCAGCAGTGACTAAAGGTCAACAACAGAAACCAGCCAACATTTGGCCTGCGTGTACAGCAGGTTGTCTGACAGAGGCCACTTTAATCAAATGGGAATGCTGGAAAACCAGCATCCGATCAGTGCTGGCAGCCAATGGCTGTGAGTGCTGATCAGTGTGTTCTGGCGGGGGAGAGTCCCAATTGTCAGAACACAGTAGGTCAATGGGGGAGATCACATCACTAACATCGCTTAAGTCTCGAGCGCACTGAGGATATCAGACGAATGATTAGATGCTAGTCTTATATCAAAAAGGTTTAGGTTACTAAAGTTCTGCAAATTCTCGTAAGACAGAATACAACATCCCACGATGATTGTATTGTGTTGTATTCTAATGTATTCTTTCATTTCTGAGCATGCCCAGTCTTAGTCACTCGATTTTTTACGGATGGCTACTGTACTGATTAAAATCGTTCAATCTGTTATTGTATGAAAAACGTTTTTTTGCTTTGTCCCTGCATGTAATTTGAACTGCTGGCTCTTGAAAGCTGCATACTAACTGTCAAGGTCCTACCTTTTCCCAGAGGTTATGCTGCTCCATGTGCTGGCATCCATCTTGGGTTTCTGCAAAAAATCGTGGGAGCCTTTTATGCTTTCAGGCCTCTGCGGTCCATCCCCCAGAGGGGTGTGGTTGAGCACATTTAAGCCGGTTGTCCGCACGTGCTCTTTGCATTCGTATCCTGTTTGTTAGTGTTGTTGCAAGCTCTTGTTCTACTCTCGTGGCTCTCCTGGAAACTGACTCAGCTTTGTCTAAGACTACTCTCAGCCTTATCCCTTTATCTGACCTCCCGTTGCTGAACCCGGCTTGTGACCTGTGTATTCTTGTCTACCGTTCTGTACTGTCTGTCCCGCTGTTATCGACCCGGCCTGTCCGACTACGCTATCGCTCTTATCTGGTTCCTACCAGCTATACGCCATTGGCGGCGGTCCATTACCGCAGCTGGGGTTTCTCGGGGGCCGCGACCTGGTTCCTGGCTGCGTCAAGTCCATCCCCACCATCAGGGGCCCTGGTGAAGGGTAGCCTGGGGCTTAGACTCCGCGCCCTGAGGGACTCCGGTCTGTGGGTGGTGGTTGTCGTCAGTCAGTGCGTGACCCTGCCATTAGGCCTGCCTGTCCATTCCACAGCTCCTGCCCTGACACTAACAGGCAGATTATCAGATGATCACTCTGAAATCAGTATTTTTTGTCCAATTTTCTTAGTGTGTGTAATCATTGGTTAGTATGACAACCTCACTCAGCTCACTGGGTTGAATGAAAAAAAAGAACTCCCCGTGTGTACCCCCCGCCATAGTCTCACACTGGATAACTGCAGAGATCTGGAAGTAATACACAAAACACACCAAGATTCAAATACAAATCCACATGATTCTTCTATTTGGACAATAGTTACTTACCCTAGAGTACAGTTTTATGCCTTCATCCACACTTTTTTCATGTGTGATTAGATGCCACTTGTAGAACAGGATCAGAATGTCACATTTTCAGCCTATTTAAATAGGAGCACCTGAAGAAAGTGTTTATTAACCACTTCCTGTCTGGACACTTTTACCCCCTTCCTGTCCAGGGCAATTTTCAGCTTTCAGTGCTATCACACTTTGAATGACAATTGCGCAGTCATGCAACACTGTACCCATATCAATTTTTTACCTTTTTTTTGAGACAGATAAAGCTTTATTTTGGTGGTATTTATTCACTGCTGGGATTTTTTTTTTTTTGTTTGAAAACGTCCAAAAAAGTTTGAAAAAAAGTGTTTTTCTTATAAAATTTTGCAAATAAATAATCTTTCATCATAAATCTTGGCCAAAATGTATTCCGTTATCTTTTTAGTAAAAAAAAAAAAAAAAAGCCAAATTAGTTTATAACCAAAAATCAAAAATTATAAATTTTAAACTTTTTTTACATTTTTATTTTATTTTTTTTATTATTATTTTTTTTTTTGTTTTTTTTACATACTGTCACCCTAGCAGTACAGTGTCACCATGGTGACACTGTACTACTTGTGGGGGTGATGAAGATTTTTTTTTACAGTGATTGATTGATCACAGCTTGTCACATGGTACAAGGCTGTTGTGAATAGCCTTGTACCATGTGACCTCTGTGATCATTCACAGATTTCACATGTAGTAAGCAATGATGTCACAAGTGACATCTTGCTTACTGCTTTGCATGTGATCACTGATTGGCCAATCGGCAATCACATGATTGGGACCTCGTAGAGATGTCCCGTCCGACGATCAGTGTTTCACTGTGTCCGGAGGACACAGCAGGCACCGGATCGCGGTGCTGCGCGCTCCCAGGGAGCGCGCACAGCTAGAAATGGCAGGTGCCGTTTATGAACGGCAACCCGCCCCTGGAGTGCCACCGCCCTGCCGTTTATAAACAGCAGGCAGACGGCAAGTGGTTAAGGTTTATTCAGGTGCTCCAAGTCTATGGGGCCAAAAACAAGTGATCCTGTCCCAAAGAATCTCACATACTTTATTGAGCATCAAGTGACAGGTGACAAGCGACACAACATTCAAGTGTGAATGGGCTTATTGAATAATAGGATTCTTCATCTTGAACATTGCCGCACTTTAACAGTCATGCAACAAATCGCTCAGGTGTGAATGTGGGCTAAAAAATCTGTTTTATTCACTAGAATGGTCCATAGTAATCCCCAGATTGGATTCTCTCTCTCTCTCTCTCCTTCTCTCTCTCTCTCTCTCTCCTTCTCTCTCTCTCTCTCTCTCTCTCCTCTCTCTCTCTCTCTCCTCTCTCTCTCTCTCTCTCCTTCTCTCTCTCCTCATTTAGGGCTTAATCATAAAGGGAGAGGAGCTACCTCTACAATAAAACCCCTATTGAGTTAAATGCACCAGAGAGAGAGGATCTCAAGCAGAATTACTATGGACCATCCAAGTGGAAAGGTGGATTTTAGCTGAATTTGGCACATGGCATTTTACTCTGTGTGATGGATTGAGCATTGAGACAAGCTTGAAACCAGTACCAGGACAAGGTCATCCAGTGCCCAGGGCAAATAAGCCAAACTGTGCCCCCCTCCATTATGTGCAATCTTAACTGCTATCCCCCCACAGTTATCTGCTAGTCAAAATTGTATCAAAATGAGCTCACTGGTGCAACCATCAATAGAGTAAACTGCTGCCCCCAGGGCAGCTGCCCCTCTTGCCCACCCCTTGTCCCAGCCCTGCTTGAAACCATGCCTGCACCCATGGTGGGAAGCCATGCTGTATTGCTGTAGCAACAAAAACCATGATAGAGGTTCTAACTCTTCCTCATTCTGTACAAAACTAGAAGAAAATGTTTTGGTTGGAGTTAAGCTCAAATGAACAAATACAGCCACACACATAACTGGTGTCTGTGTCTTTTTTACTATCTGTCTAGGGATGGTAACACTTTTTACAGGTTTTGGGCTAGTGTGCTTCTCTAGAATAACTCACCCATGCTTTTCTTGGGCAGACGCTCAGCGAAATGACGGAGTTACTGTCCTCAAGCAGTAACTACAGTACATATCGAAGAGTCTACAATGAATGTGGTGGATTTAAGATTCCGATTCTGGGTGTCCAGCTGAAGGATTTAGTTTCACTAAATGAAGCTTTGCCTGACTATTTGGACAATGGGAAAATCAATGTCAGCAAACTGCAGAGTCTGTACCAGCACATCCTGGAGCTACGGCAGCTGAAGAAAGTCATTCCACCATTCCAAGCCAACAATGATGTGATACTGCTGCTAACAGTGAGTACACCACTTGGCATATATTGTACATCCATTTACAAATGCATAATCTATGTAGTACATATATTAAGCCCCATACACATGATGAGAATATCGGATGAATGATTTTTTTTTTGCATGCCAGTCACATATCAAAGATGAATAGCTTACTAAAGTTATGAAAATTCTCGTAAGACAGAATACAAATTTGGAAGTGATGTAATGTATTGTATTCTATCGTTATGTATTCTTTCATTTCGGAAAGATCATAGCATAGCTGGTCTTGTTCACTTGATTTTTTTTTTAGACGAATACTGTACTGATTAAAGGAAAATTTCTTCTGTTATCGTACAGGAAAAAAATGTGTGTTTGTCCCTTTGAACAATTTTGCATGAACTGTCGTGATTGGCCTTCAAAAGTTGTGTACCAATGATCAGACTATAGGATGATCACTTGGTATTATTGTCTAATTTTCTCATTGTGTGTGCTAGACATTTCAGCGATTTACTAAAACTGGAGAGTGCAAAAGCTGGTGTGGCTCTGCATAGAAACCAATCAGCTTCCAGTTTTTTTTGTCAATGCTTGATTGAACAAGCCAAAGTTAGAAGCTGATTGATTACCGTGCACAGCTGCACCAGATTTTGCGCTCTTCAGTTTTAGTAAATCAACCCCCAATATGTCTTTATAGGAAATGAGAGGGAATTTATTAAACTAGAAACAGATTGCAATAAAAATCTGTCAGGAGATATTCCAAAATTTACAAAGACTGCAAACAATTATTCATTATTAGGGCTTGTTCACACTTGACTAAATTTCTAACTCTTACCAAATGCTCCTATAGCTTTAGTATGGGCATTAGACAGGCGTTGATGAGCTTTAGTATGGGTGGTAGACAGGCGTTGATGAGCTTTAGTATGGGCATTAGACAAGCATCAATGAGCTTTAGTATGGGCATTAGACAGGCATTGATGAGCTTTAGTATGGGCGTTAGACAAGCGTTGATGAGCTTTAGTATGGGTGGTAGACAGGCGTTGATGAGCTTTAGTAAGGGGTGTAGACAGGCGTTGATGAGCTTTAGTATGGGCATTAGACAGGCATTGATGAGCTTTAGTATTGGCGTTAGACAGGAATTGATGAGCTGTAGCATGGGCGTTAGACAAGCTTTGATGAGCTTTAGTATGGGCGTTAGACAGGCATTGATAAGCTTTAATATGGCGTTAGACAGGTGTTGATGACCTTTAGTATGGGTGTTAGACAGGCGTTGATGAGCTTTAGTATGGGTGTTAGACAGGTGTTGATGACCTTTAGTATGGGAGTTAGACAGATGTTGATGACCTTTAGTATGGGAGTTAGACAGGCGTTGATGACCTTTAGTATGGGCATTGCTTTTTAAGAACACTCCCCAAATGCCCTTTGTGCAGTTTTGAAGCATTTTATAAGTGTTTGACAAGCATTAAAACCACACCACAAACTAAGTAAAGTGTAATGTTATTAATGCTCTGCAACCGCACTGCAAATGCCCCGCAAACACCTGCCAGTGCATTTGAGGAGTGTGACCGTAGACTTGAATGGGAGGCATTGAAAGGCTTCAAACTCCTCCTAACTCAATATGAAGCTTCAATTTTGAAGCGACACAATGCTAACGATTCATGCTTTGATCATGTGAACAGCACTGTGTGTTGCCCATAGTATCATTTGCCTAGGCGTTTTAAGAGCGTTAAAAACACCCCTCAAACACCAGCTTTCAATGTCAATGTGAACTAGGCCTTATACCTTTTGTGGAAAAAAGCTGTCCTCCAAAAATGGATTTACCCTGCCCTCGCCCACATCTCTTTGTTCATAGAAAAACTAACTGATGTTTTCTATATAGAATGAGTGTAGGCCTCTTTACAAAAAGAACCCCAACCTTTTTTTTACATACAACAATCAATAACACAATGTTTATTGGTATCATACTAGATTGCTAACCAAGGACCCTACAACTGAAATCCCACTTCCAAACTAAATCACACTAACATTCAATACTAGAGTCCGTGTTTAATCTCACATTATACTGTTAAAGTAACTATTTGCCTGTTCTGTCCCATTGGTCAAATGTTGCGGCCACCCTTAAGAAGGTCATAGATGAGTCGAAAACAGAACGAAAATTCTTGTCAATCATCGAATAGTTCACTTTTCGCATCATTGGTGTCCCAGCTGCAACACAAAATTTTCATGCCACAATCGAAAGTACCTAATCCAACATGCTGGATTTTTTTTTAGAAAATGAAACAAATGATGTCAACATCGTATAAGCTATTTTCACAGAACTGAGTTTTTGACTCATCTATGGCCTGCTTTAATGTTAACTGCATATTTGCTTAAAATACACACACAAAAAACCCTGACAAGACCATTACCCAGGGGCGACTGACAACTCATGGGGCCCCCGGGCAATAGGAGATCATGGGGCACCTGTGTCCTTGCCCAAACTCAAAAAAGCCTATGAAAAAGGTAGCAGGGGCATCTCATGGGGCCCCCTACTGGCCCCGGGTCCTCGGGCAGTGCCTGGGTTTCCAAATGGTCAGTCCGCCCCTGCCATTACCTACTCTACTTTGATTTTTTAAACAGTGTTTTTGTGAAAGCCTTATGTACTCTTTATATTTCAATATTTTTATTGAGAAATAAACATATTAAAACAAGATGGCTAACAATAAAAGAAAAGAAAAAAAAAAGGGCCCCACCAACAAAATGGAACCAGATTCAGAATCATAAACATAATACTGGTAGGTAAAAAAAAAAAAAAAAAAAAAAAAAAAAAAAAAAAAAAAAAAAAAGAAATTTAGCAGATAATAGCATTACAATGCACATGAAAAAAGTCAAAGCCATCAAAATATACAAGTTTCAAAGATCAATAAACAACAATTATAGCAAAATAGACCAAAAATAACAAAGAAAAATAAAAATGTTTAACAAATAGTAGGAAAAGAGAAAAAAAGAGGAAAAAATAGAGAAAGGGGGGGGGGGGGGGGGGGGGGGGGGGTCAGCTGCCAGACACTCACGATACAGTAATATAAGCAATCCAAGGATCCCAAGTCCTCTCAAATCTGGACACATCATCAGAGACGATACTCGTCAGTTTATCATTAACCATTATCCAGTTCAGTTTTTGTTTCACCCTATCCAGCGGGATCAAAGATTGCTTCCAACTCCTAGCTATAGTAATGCGAGCCGCCAATAAGATATATACAATTAGTTTAATCGATCTTTTGGGAACATCAGAGGGTAGTATATTAAACAAGGCTACTTCCGGCGATCTACGGATATTAATTCCTGTCACTGAGTAAAGAAAATTAAATATGCGGATCCAGAACCTACTCACGACTGGGCATTTCCACCAGACATGGAACATAGTACCCTCTTGACCACAGCGTCGGAAACAGGCAGAAGAAACGGAAGGATACATAATGGCTAGGCGAGCAGGGACCAAATACCACCGAAGTAGCGTCTTGTAATTAGATTCAACAAGATCAGTGTTAATCGAAATCTTCGATAAGGCATGGGCCGCCGTCCGCCAGGTATCCAAATCCAATGAACTATTTAAATCCCCGTTCCCATAAAAGTCATGTAAGACAATTTTGTTAGAGGATCAACCAACAAAGCATAAACAATGGACAAGCGACCCCGCATTACCCCACTCGCCCCACAGGAGACCTCGAGGGAAGTAAGCGCACAAGGTTTCTGTGAGTAGTCTAAGTTTGCTATCAATAAAAAGAGCGAAGTTGATGGTAACGAAATATCTCTCCACGAGGCATCCCACAAAAATTCACAAAATACTTCCCGAGGGCGAACCCCATCTAAATAATCACCAATACGTAGCAAACCCTTATTAATCCACCATTGGAACCCCGCGAAAGACAAACCCGGAACAAACTCAGGATTACCAAACACCGGAGCCAACGGAGTATGCGGAGAGAAAAAAGGTTTACGAGCTCGCCATCTATCCCACACTGCTTATGTACTCTTTAATATGTAAAAAAAAATGATTAGTGGCATTCTCTGGATCTGGGATATGACATAAGCAGGTGTTCCTTTTTACTTTACAGACATCATTAGATACCTTTTACACGGAAGATGAGATCTACTCCCTGTCCTACACTCGGGAACCACGCAGTCCCAAAATATTGGTAAGAAACTGGCTCCATGAAATGCTCTGGATTTCAGTATGATTCTGACAAAAGATTGTGAGCTGATGTATATGTTCTCACTTTTCTCACTACATGTATCTGAACTACTTTGTAGATATCCAGGCAGAAGGTGCCCAGTGGGCATTGTGCCAAGCATGGATGACTGGATTAAAACAAAAAACAATAAGAGTCATCAGGCATAAGGGTTTGACATCCTTATCCCTCTATAGCTCCAATTTTTCACGAAAGAATATGTAAACCCAACATTTCATATTCCTGATATGTGCCTGCTGTACTATGTACTTGTATGAAAAAGTATCCTGTTCTTTGGAATTGCTTCCTTGTGAAATCCCTGCTATTCCTGCCAGTCCCTTTGCTTTCCTATTAAAAACTGACCACACAAGGCAAGGCCGAGAATAAGGGGGTACCACCAGTCCTCCTGTACGGGGCCTAGGCCAGCAGGGGGGCCTAGGCACATGGGTGAATCAGATATGGGCAGGGAGGATAATCGGCACAGTGGGGGGGAGGCAATTACTGGAACTGAGCCACTGTATGGCTGAAACCTGGCTTCTTTGCCTCTCCCTCCCACTGGCTTTCAGCTGCTGCAGAGAAAGCCATACAAAGGATTGGTTCTAGTAATTGCCCCCCTCACCCGGCCCATTACCCTCCCACATTCCACCCTGCTGCCCAGGCCCCCTTATGTGCCCCCACCCCTGCAATGCTGCCGGCTTCCCTCTTCTCCTTCCCACTGGCTGCTGCAAGCACCCAATACGATCTTTCAGGATGGAGAGTGGGGGAAGGGTTTGTTAAATATGTCACATTTACCAGGTCCTTCCTTTAATGAATGAAACACACCAAGTGATTGCTACCAATCACTCACTGTGTTCATTCATAACTGAAGAATAGTAAAATGTGTTTTTTTGAGGGGAGGGGGACCCTGTCAGGTTTGCTGTATGGGGCCGCGTGGTTTCTAACAGCAGGCCCGACACTCGACATGAGACTGTGATCTGACCTTTAGTTGTGCTGTGAAGTCATGCTGCTCTCCTCCAATGATCAAACTTATCCTGACACCCCCCTGCACAGCCATTTACTGGGAAAACTGCTGTTTTTCCACCCTCACCTCTCTATGTGGCTGAGAACAGAGGGTATGTGATCACTTGAAAAGAAAAGGAGAGAAAAAAGTATTTATTATGTTTTTTACATCTATACGCTAGTGCTTTACCTTTCATTTCTATTTTACCCTGTATGGGTTGCTTTACAAGGTGAGGGTTCACGTATACTTTAACAGGGGATTATGCAAATAGCAGCAATGATGTTTAATCAGCTTTGACCTTTTACAGGATAGCCAATGATGTCATTGCTTTCTGTTCCAAAAAATGGTTGTTTTCTACCAATTTTTTTAATTTTTAATAAACATGTTTGTTCCTATGGTTTTTATGATGTGTATCCTTTTCACAGTCCACCACACCTAACAAGCCACCTGCTGATATTCCACACTGGACCCCTGACATTCCTATACAGCCGGACCCCGAGGCCCTCAGTCGCAGTGTTGAGCAGATGGTGCAGGTGAGTATACTGTATGTTGTCAGACATAGCTGCAAGAGACATACTATAGTACTGAAACTACGCCCAACACTAGGATCCCTTGGCAGGAGCTTTTAGAAGGTGCCTTATATACCCATGTATGTCACATTGGGCTACACTCAAGGGTACTCAAAGGGTTTGTCATTTTTGCCACTTAAATCTACAGTTCCTGCAAATGATACATCGCCGTTTCACTGCCAGCCATAGTGTGAACATACTCATTTCCTGACCACTTCCTGTTGTGCTTTAACCCTGCACACAGCAATCCATCATACACAAGCACAACAAACAAGCATTTGTGAAATATTGTTGGATTTAGAGAAGCATTAGTGGAATTACAGAATGATAATAAGAATATTTATATATCCTTCCCATAGTAACCAATCCTGTTCACCTCTTCATTGGAGAAGTAAGAGTGAATGTAAGCATCTCACTGAATTCATGATTGTTTCATACCGAGTACGATTGTTCAAAATAATATATGAAATGTGACAACTTAACCCCCGTTTTACCTCCTTCATGACCAGACCATTTTTTGCTATACAGCCTTGTGTTACTTTAACTGGCAATTGCATGGTCATGCAACACTACACTGCCTTGGCAAAGTAATCATACCCCTTGAAATTTTCCACATTTTCTAATGTTACAATCAAAATCGTAAATGTATTTTATTGGGATTTTATGTGATAGACCAACACAAAGTGGCACATAATTGTGAAGTTGAAAATGATATATGGTTTTCAAGATTTTTTACAAATAAATATCTGAAAAGTGTGGCGTGTATTTGTATTCAGCCCCCCTGAGTCAATACTTTGTAGGACCACCTTTCACTGCAATTACAGCTGCAAGTCTTTTTGGGGATGTCACTACCAGCTTTGCACATGTAGAGAGTGAAATTTGTGCCCATTCTTCTTATACAAAATTTATTATAACAGAAGAGACCTTTGTTGTTTCTTCTGTCATAAATCTCTCTCCTGCCTGCTCAGACCACATTTACGGCATCCACTGTGCACTGTGGCAATGTAACTTTGATGTAACATCACCACGGCTTGGCCATTCAAGTGGCTGAAGATATGGAATCCAGAAGGAAGACCATCAAGGATCAAAGTGCCAGGGACCAGGGGACAATGATAGAGTTCTCCGTACCTTTGTCATAGTATGCTAGTATGTGGTGCACACTAGAACAATATAAATTAAGTCTGCAGGAGGTACATGTTTTTAAAACTTTATTTAAATTACTTCTCTACCACTTTAATACTCCAGAAAAAGAAAACATTTTTTACAGATGAAAACTTCTAACGTTGTGTCAACAGATTGGAGAAGGCCCACTTCTGCCCATATCTTCTAGCATGATTGTACCCCTGTGCACAGAGGAAGCTCCATAAAGGCATGGTTTAATATGTTCGGTGTGGAGGAGCTCAAGTGGCTTGCATGCCAAACAGGAGATAGGTCTTCTCATCCAATATCAGTACCTGCACTGATCTCAAAAACGCTCTTTTGGCTGAATGAGTACAAATTTTCACATACACACACCAAAATATTTTGGAAAGCCTTTCCATAAGTGTATAGGCTGTTATAGCTGCAGTGGGGGCTGGGTGGCCAGCATTGTGGTTTTGCAATGAAATGTCCATTGAGCTCGAATAGCTGTGATGGTTAAATGTTCATTAACTTTTGCCCATATAGTGTGTTTATGTATATATTTGTTTTTTTTTTCCATTAGGTTAAACGCTTTACTATTATCCTATTTATTTGCAGTCTGTTTTTTTTTTTTTTCGGTTTTATGATCCCGATCAGAAAGGATTTGTTTTCCGGGAAGACTTTGAGAAGGTTGTTTCCAGTCTTCCATTCTCCTGTCACATCCTAGAAAAGGACCAGTAAGTGTGATGTCCTTTTTTTTATAATGGAGAAGCAGACAAGAAACCAGCTTGTGTAGTTAATTTTTGTTCATATAATTTATTTTTATTTTCAGCTCGTTGTTTTTATTTACATTTATTTATAAAATATGTCATTGGATATCACAAGATGAAATAAACATCACTCATAGTCAGTATATCTATCAGCAATAAAGCCCCATAGACACGGAACAAATATTGGCCAAGTCAATGGAAACCATCTGATATTCGGCCCGTGCGTACACCCACCAGTCCGGAGAAGCTGACCGAATGGAAAACCAGCATCCAATCGGCATCCGATCAGTGCTGTCAGTCAATGGCTATCAGAGCTGACCAGAGTGTTCTGGTGGGGGGGTAGTCAGAACACAATAGCTCAGTGGGGAGATCGCTGTACTTTGCCTGTCACACCTGTTCACCCTCTATGGACCAGAGCAGTCTTTCTTTCATTTATGCTATGGACCTGTTTATTTGGCGATAACTTTCTCATTACTTAAGATACTGTGTATTGTTTTTTTTAAGGACAAACAGGGATTTCTTTTCGTGAATATTGTCTTGCAACTATTTTTTTTTCGCAATCCCTAAACAATTAAACATAACAAGCAGTGTTTAGTTTAAAAATAGTGTTACTGCACATAGAAAGTGCACCTTTTATTCTGTAATTTGTCCTGTTTAAAATGACACTAAAATTATGATTCTGGTGCAAATCATTGCAGTTACTTACAAATGAAGTAAAGTGGGTTTATTTCAATTTTACACTTTTTCTAAATGTGAAATGTGGAAATGTGTAAACATACAGTTGGGTCCATATATATATTTGGACACAGGCACAATTTTAGTTTTTTTCAGGTATTTACCAAAACATATTCAGGCTATAGTTATATGATGGATATGGGCTGAAAGTGCACACTCTCAGGTTTAATTTGAGGATATGTACATCCAAACTGGACGAAGAGTTTAGGAATTACAGCTCTTAAGAGTAGCCATCCCCCCTTTTTTAAGGGACCAAAAGTAATTGAACAGTTAAATCAAAAGCTGTTTCATGGCCAGGTGTGGGCTACTAATTTGTTATTTCTTCATCAATTAAGCAGGTAAAAGGTCTGGAGTTGATTCTAAGTGTGGTAATTGCATTTGGAATCTATTGCTGTGAACCTACAGTCAGGTCCATAAATATTGGGACATGGACACAATTCTAACATTTTTTTGGTCTATACACCACCACAATGGATTTGAAATGAAATGAACAAGATGTGCTTTAACTGCAGACTGTCAGCTTTAATTTGAGGATATTTACATCCAAATCAGGTGAATGGTGTATGAATTACAACAGTTTGCATATGTGCCTCCCAGTTGTTAAGGGACCAAAAGTAATGGGACAGAATAATAATCATAAATTCAAATCACATAGATATATATCCTCCTGCGCTCTTATGGTGAACAGTAGAACAGACTAAAAAGCAGCCAGCATCTATCCCATACCAAGCAAAGGCAATATACATAAAATATAAAAGTTGATGCAGCGCTAAAGATTCTAATATCTAAACAAAATACAACATTGATATATATGAATATATATAGATATATATAGAGATGACCCAAATCCACAGGGGAATACGCTAGGACCAATGACCCTCAATGGACAAAAATAACAGTGGTTTAAGTGCAGGATAACGTGTCCATAGTTCATATATCTAAAGAGGTGCAGGTGAATCACAGCACACTCCAAACGTGATCCCAGGCAGTCTAGCTGCAGTGGCCTCTCACCTCCACTCTATGACCCCACAGGGCCACAAAGCATACTGTAAATCACCTCGAGATCCACCAATTCAGTAACTCTTTATATAGGAAGGCATCACATGGACCAGGACAGTATTCATCCAGACCAGTAGGCAAACGGAAAGCACTCTCCTCCGATGTCACAACCGCTCATAAGCTCATAAATGAGGAGATAAACACAGTCCTCATAGTATATTACCGCTTTATTAGCAAATAGGCAACATATATCAGAGAGAGAGAGGAGATAATCCACTTACATGGCAACAGCTTGTATCACAATGTGCTGGGTGTACAGCAAGATCACAAAGGTGCACCAAGATGGCGTCACGCCGGAAGTACGTCACCACGCCAATGCCGTCGACGCGTTGCGTCACGTGACTCGTGACTTCATCAGGACAGCGTGATTGGCCAGCAGTACTTCCTTATAAAGGCCAGAAACCGCACCCATCCAAACTACAATGGGCGGTGCGATCGCGGCCATATTCTAATGGTCCAATTTACAAACAGCCTGTACAGCCATATTACTGTGGTCCAGTGTGGGCAGACCTTCTCCCATTAGGTCTGGCGATCCAAATAGGATAACAAAGCTTAGATGGAAAGCACCACACGACCAATACCTCTCACTAATGGGCACATAAACCATGAGAAGACTAATATTAAAAATTAGATGTGGAAAACCACATACTTTAATAGTAAAATTAAAATTAAAACGAGCATGTCCATAGAATATATATATATATATAACATGCCCTGTATAAATGAATATCATACAAAAAAATATTTTTTACATTTTTAATATTTGTTTTTTATATTATTTTAGTTCATACATTTTTGTATGATATTCATTTATACAGGGCATGTTTATCTCCTCATTTATGAGCTTATGAGCGGTTGTGACATCGGAGGAGAGTGCTTTCCGTTTGCCTACTGGTCTGGATGAATACTGTCCTGGTCCATGTGATGCCTTCCTATATAAAGAGTTACTGAATTGGAGGATCTCGAGGTGATTTACAGTATGCTTTGTGGCCCTGTGGGGTCATAGAGTGGAGGTGAGAGGCCACTGCAGCTAGACTGCCTGGGATCACGTTTGGAGTGTGCTGTGATTCACCTGCACCTCTTTAGATATATGAACTATGGACACGTTATCCTGCACTTAAACCACTGTTATTTGTCCATTGAGGGTCATTGGTCCTAGCGTATTCCCCTGTGGATTTGGGTCATCTCTATATATATCTATATATATTCATATATATCAATGTTGTATTTTGTTTAGATATTAGAATCTTTAGCGCTGCATCAACTTTTATATTTTAATCATAAATTCAAACTTTCACTTTTTAATACTTGGTTGCAAATCCTTTGCAGTCAATTACAGCCTGAAGTCTGGAACGCATAGACATCACCAGACGCTGGGTTTCATCCCTGGTGATGCTCTGCCAGGCCTCTACTGCAAGTCTTCAGTTCCTGCTTGTTCTTGGGGCATTTTCCCTTCAGTTTTGTCTTTAGCAAGTGAAATGCATGCTCAATCGGATTCAGGTCAGGTGATTGACTTTGGCTCACCAATGGTTTACATCTTGTGGTGAACCCTCTGTATTCACTCTGGTGAAGTCTTCTCTTGATTGCTGACTTTGACACACATACACCTACCTCCTGGAGAGTGTTCTTGATCTGGCCAACTGTTGTGAAGGGTGTCTTCTTCACCAGGGAAAGAATTCTTCGGTCATCCACCACAGTTGTTTTCCGGGGTCTTCCGGGTCTTTTTGGTGTTGCTGAGCTCACCGGTGCGTTCCTTCTTTTTAAGAATGTTCCAAACAGTTGTTTTGGCCACGCCTAATGTTTTTGCTATCTCTCTGATGGGTTTGTTTTGTTGTTTCAGCCTAATGATGGCTTGCTTCACTGATAGTGACAGCTCTTTGGATCTCATCTTGATAGTTGACAGCAACAGATTCCAAATGCAAATAGCACACTTGAAATGAACTCTGGACCTTTTATCTGCTCATTGTAATTGGGATAATGAGGGAATAACAGACACCTGGCCATGGAACAGCAGAGAAGCCAATTGTCTCATTATGTTTGGTCCCTTAACAAGTGGGAGGCACATATGCAAACTGTTGTAATTCCTACACCATTCACCTGATTTGGATGTACATACCCTCAAATTAAACCTGACAGTCTGCAGTTAAAGCACATCTTGTTCGTTTCATTTCAAATCCATTGTGGTGGTGTATAGAGCCAAAAATGTTAGAATTGTGTCCATGTCCCAATATTTATGGACCTGACTGTATATCATTCGTTCAAAGGAGCTGTCCATGCAAGTGAAACAGGCCATTGTAAGGCTTCAAAAACAAAACAAATCCATCAGAGAGACAACAGCAACATTAGGAGTGGCCAAATCAACAGTTTGGTACATTCTGAGGAAAGAAGAATGCACTGGTGAGCTCAGCAACATAAAAAGGCATGGACGTCCACAGAAGACAACAGTGGTGGATGATTGCAGGATCCTCTCTATGGTAAAGAAAAGAACATTCACAACATCCAGACAAGTGAAGGACACTCTTCAGGAGGTGGGCGTATCATTGTCAAAGTCTACAATCAAGAGAAGACTTCACAAGAGCAAATACAGAGGGTTCACCACAAGGTGCAAACCATTCATAAGACTGAAGAATAGAAATGCCAATTAGACTTTTCCAAAAAACATCTAAAAAAGCCAGACCAGTTTCTGGAAAAGCATTCTTTGGATGGATGAAACAAAGATGAATCTGTGCCAGAATGACAGGAAGAAAAAAAGTGTGGAGAAGGCTTGGAACGGCTCACGATCCAAAGCACACAACATCATCTGTAAAACATGGTGGAGGCAGTGTGATGGCATGGGCATGCATGGCTTCCAGTGGCGCTGGGTCATTGGTATTATTGATGATGTGACAGAAGACAGACAGAAGCAGCCGGATGAATTCTGCAGTGTTTAGAGATTTACTGTCAGTCCAGATTCAGCCAAATGCAGCAAAGTTGATTGGACGGCTCTTCACAGTACAGATGGACAATGATCCAAAACTTACTGCAAAAGCAACCCAGGAGCTTTTGAAGGAAAATAAGTGGAATATTCTGCAACAGCCGAGTCAGTCACCTAATCTCAACCCAATTGAACATGCATTTCACTTGCTGAAGGCAAAACTAAAGGCAGAAAGACTCACAAAGAACAACTGAAGACAGCTGCAGTTAGAGTCTGGCAAAGCATCAGAAAGGAGGAAACTCAGTCTTTGGTAATGTCCATGGGTTCCAGACTTCAGGCAGTCATTGCCAGTAAAGGAGATTCTCAACAAAATATTAAAAATGAACATTTTATGATTATATTCAATTGTCCAATTACTTTTGGTCCCTTGAAAAGGGGGGGGATGGCTACTCTTAAGAGCTGTAATTCCTAAACCCTTCCTCCAATTTGGATGTACATACCCTCAAATTGAACCTGAGAGTGTGCACTTTCAGTGTGGACTTAGACTTGAGCTCCTGGTAAGGTAATACATGGTGTTTTGCCTGGGATGTAAATGGAAATGTCAAAAGGCATTGCTGATCTAGAAGTGTAATGTCTGCCAACACTTACATCAGTCTTGGAAATGTATGTACTAAGAGTGAGTTAGCTGTGATGATCTTTTCAGTGGAACTCTGCAAGACCAGCACATAAGAAGTAATCAGAAGCCAGAATGTGTGGATATTTGCTGGATGAACCATGGGTAAGGAAGTATTCCATAACCCTCTCACACTTTCTTCATAGAGAAGGACCAATGAACCATAAGGAGATGACATCATACTTTATGAAAGCCAGCCAGATTTGCTCCAAGCTTGGAGTTCCTTTCCTGCAAACGTTGGTGGAAATACGACTGAAGGAATCCCTTCTGTGCCCCAGCTGTGTAAGTCATCAATTTTCCACCTTCATTTTACGGTGGCACTCTTTTAGTATTAAAGTGGGTGGAAGGGCAAAACATTGTTCCTCTTAGCTTAGGATAGAGTGGGGAAAGGTTTGACCCTCTGCTAAGTTTTTATCACTGAGGATATTCACCATTCTTTTTTGTCCATCCTAGTAATGACATATCCTTGCCCCCCCCTCCATCCTAGTAGTGACATGACCTCGCCCCCCCATTCTAGTAATGACATGACATCGCCCCCCTCCCCAGTAATGACATGACCTCTCCCCCTCCTCCCTCCATCCTAGTAATGATATGAACTCACCCCCACCTCCATTATAGTAGTGACATGAACTCCCCCCCCCTCCCCAGTAATGAAATGACCTCGCCCCCCACCTCCATCCTAGTAGTGACATGACCTCGCCCCCCCCCCATTCTAGTAATGACATGACATCGCCCCCCTCCCCAGTAATGACATGACCTCTCCCCCTCCTCCCTCCACCCTAGTAATGATATGAACTCACCCCCCCCAGTAGTAATGACATGACCTCGCCCCCACCTCCATTATAGTAGTGACATGAACTCACCCCCACCTCCAGTAATGATATGACCTCACCTCTCCTCTCCATTCTAGTAATGACATGATCTCACCCCCCCCCCCCAGTAATGACACGACCTCGTCCCCACCTCCATTATAGTAGTGACATGAACTAACCCCCCCTCCCCAGTAATGACATGACCTCGCCCCCCCCTCCATTCTAGTAATGATATGACTTCGCCCTCCCTCCCCAGTAATAACATGACCTCGCCCCCCCCCCTCCCCAGTAATGACTGGCCTCTCCCCCTCCTCCCTTCACCCTAGTAATGATATGACGTCACCTCTCCTCCCCAGTAATGATGTGAATTTGCCCCCCTCCATCCTAATAATGACATGACCTTGCCTCCCCTCCCATTAAAGACATGACCTTGCCCCCTCCCCCCCCATCCTAGTAAGGACATGATCTCAACCCCCCCCCCCATCCTATCCAGTAATGACATGATCTTGCCCCCCCCCCCATGCTAGTAATGTAGTAATGACATGACCTCACCCCACCTCCCCAGTAATGACATGACCTCGCCCCACCACCTCCCCAGTAATGACATGACCTTGCCCCCCCATGCTAGTAATGTAGTAATGATGTGACCTCACCCCACCTTCCCAGCAATGACATGACCTTGCCCCCCTTCATCTTAGTAATGACATGACCTTGCCCCCCCATGCTAGTAATGTAGTAATGACATGACCTCACCCCACCTCCCCAGTAATGACATGACCTTGCCCCCCCATGCTAGTAATGTAGTAATGACATGACCTCACCCCACCTCCCCAGTAATGACATGACCTTGCCCCTCCTCCCCCCAATATGATCATCCCAGAGTGGGGGGAGGTACAAAGAATTAGGTGAGTGAGCAGAGCAGCATTTTAGCTCAGCTCAGCTACAGCGGTCCCGACACTCAGGCGGGACTCTCCTCCTGCCTCAGCACAATGCCATGCTTCTCAGTCCCAGGCTGCTCTCAGCATTCAGCAGCACTCTCCTGCATTATAACAGACAGGCAGCTCACTGTCCCTCGCTGTTGTCAGCACACTGCCATGCTTCTCTAGGCTGTTCTTGGTCCTCCACTCTGTTCAGGAAATGCCGGCACAACTGGCTGCTCCCCAGCTAATGAGAGCGGAGGAGGAGTATGGACTGGGGAGAAGGCAAACAACTGGAAGCCGATTACTGGATTATAGAGCTTGGCTGAGGCCTTGGAGGACACAAGGCGTATTGGATTCAGTTCCGAGATTTTGTAGGAAAAATGAAATATGACAGCAGGGAGTGGAACCGCGAGCCCCTGGGGCTAGGGACCCCTGATGGTACACCCATGACATTGTTATTAATGTTATGTTAGAATTGCCATACCAATTACTAATTATATATTTTGAGAAATAAAAGTGAATGTGGTACACTAGGTCCTTCAACACCACTTGTCACCCACATATAATTTTAACTGTTTATCTTAGTGATTTGACAGAAATTCACATATCTCAGAGTTTAAGGCAGCATAAGGATTTTAATATTACAATTAAATTAATTATTAAAGTTGAATCCCAGGTATGAATTTTATTGCATAGTCACATTGGTCCAGCATGGACTACTATAAGTATGTATATGCCATACCTGAGAGAAGCAGAAAATCATGATAATAGTCTTCTGGGTCCCATGCATAGTGGCTACACGACTGCATAGTAACCATGGATCGCCTGTTCACATCCAAGCTGAGTGTCCATAGAATTTAAGTGGTTGTAAAGACTCAAGGTTTTTTACCTCCATGCATTCTATGCATGAAGGTAAAAAATCTTTTTGTGTGCAGCATCCGCCCTCCTCCTCCCAAATACTTGTAAACACAAATGCTCCTGCGCTTGGGGATGGACTCGATGCAGGCTACAACCACATTAAGTATGTCCTGGAACATGCACACCTTGCTGCCCTCAAATAGACCGGGGGAATCCAAATATACTGAATGAAGAAAGAACAAACAGAGGGCGCATGGGCCTAGTGCATTACCATAAAAAATTTTAATAAGAAATAAAGTAGGTGTTGTACTCACAAACGACAATAAAGTCAAGGCACATCATAAAAGAACAGCTGGGTCAACACCGCGCTGAGTAACAGTCCGCAATAGGGAGTGTAGACATCCAAAGGGTGACGCGCGTTTCGAGGACTTGCCTCTTCCTCAGAGCCAATTGACCAAATGTCTGCTCCCTCTTTTTTATGCTCGCTACTAGTTGAACCAAAGGTCACATGGGCCGTCCTGGACAATCCCCTATGCAGGTGGAGGAGTCGCAGGGGCAATTGACATAATATAAGTAAACACACATCTATAAAAATATATAAATATATATATTAAAAAATGCCTTTAATATCACTTTAACTAAGGCAGCATTAAAATGCTAGGCCAGTGTCCCGTTAATGCGAGGTGCACATACTGTAAATGATGAACCTAGTGCTTCTCTGTGCTGGCAATCAGGAATTTCTCTATTTTTGCTTTGCTTAACCGTGGTGTCGCAAGAGGCAGGAAGTGATGAAGTCTGTGGTTTGATATTTGATTTCTGATGAAGTGACCGCCCATATTGGTGGTTTGTCAAAGCAAATATACTAATATAGTAAAGCAAAGAGCAATGACGTCATTTTCCAGCATAGGTTAGGGAAACAAAAGAAATTATCTGATTTGCTGCTACAAGTGTCTCTTTTCTATCACATCCGTGTCAAATCTATCAACTTATTGTATTCCTTTTTTAAGTTGAATTCAAGTGATTTTTTTTTTTTTTTGCATAGATACTGTGCATTTGTCCAACTTGGACCAAAGTATTCCATACCCCACTGATCTATGTGGAAGCAGGAGAATTAGCAGTCCCTATTACATTGTGCTTTGCTGCCTCCCGGGTTCCTTACAATGTGGTTGCCCGGCTGCATAATGAGCATGCAATGGGTTCAATACAGAGAATGCCTTGAATTTTTTTAAGTGAATGCAAGGCATTCTTTGGTTGGACAAAGTGGATTGGTAACATCACAATCTCTATCTTGTCTAGAGAATGCCTTGTATTCATTGAGAAAAATATAAGGTGTTCTCTGAATGGCTTCCAAGTCAAGTGAGTGAACTCCTGTGCTCAGTATGCAATTGAGCAGCCACTTGGCATGGAGCCCAGAAAACAGCAAGGATTACTGCAGTAGCGGCAGCTACTACAGTGAATTCCAGCTCTAAATTCTAACCAAATTTGAAGGCTGACAACCTGACATTTTCTTATTGCAAAAGCAACCAACACCTTTCTTTCTTTAGTTTTACCTCATCAGGCAACATGCATGAAGGAGGATTGTGGCGTTCTGTGAACCATATAATCATGAATGATCAGTTGATGATAGATACAGCTGCTTCCAATAATCATTCAATCAAAAGCAAATACTGCACAAAAAGTTTGGTCAGAATGGACAGGACCTATCATTTTCATTTCGATAACAATGGCTGTTTATCGATAAAAACACTTAGTTAATGAAATGGTTTTCCAATATTTTTTGGTACAATAGCGCTTATTTAAATTTTTGGAGAAAATACAGGAAAGAGAGAAAAACAATACAGGTGAAAAAAAAACATCAATATAACCAATATGACAGTACCGTATTGACTCAAAGTCCATAGGACAAATACCATAACGCCACTTTCATGTGGGACATGCTCTCTTTAGATCAGCAGGATATATGTCTGCTCACCCGCTGCTGATCGGAGGGGAGCAGGTGGATGACAGGTCTGTGTCCGCTCAGTTTATGAAGAACAGACATGGACACAGCCCGCTCTGCTCTATGGGCGGGCGGGAGTAAAAGTACTCCACTGTCTATTTACACCTGACTGCCCTCCAATCCGATCCACCTAGTTGGAGGGGGACAGATCCCCTTCCATTTTTTTAACAGATTGGATTGGAGGTAAGTGAGTGTAAATGAGTCTGTTTACACCAGCGAGTTCATAGGAGTGTATACAGGGTCCCAATCAGATCCGACTGAAAAACGGACAAGCGAACCCGATCGGACCTTTTGTGCGAAATGGGCCTGAGACACATGAAGAACAGTGGTTCCAGACCATGTGTCAGATGACAGAAAGAAAAGTCTGGGAGTCCAACACCATACCCAGTTGTAGAACTCACTGTCTCATGGGCCAGTCTTGAATGAGGCATGGTCAGAAAGATACTTTGAGACATAATGAGAGACGGGTTGAATAGTGACTGGATGGTTTCAGAATAGATGTTGCTGATGGTCACATGAACTGGACAACAGATGACAATGTAAGCTTAATCATGACAGAGGGTGGGGTAGAAAAAAAAAAAAAGGGGGGGGGTCCAGTCTCAGCAGGGAAACGATGATGTTGTAAGTGAACTGAACTCCTTGCAGAGCTGATACACGACGTCTGCAGTACAAGGTGTCACAAAGGCCCTGCCATCTCCAAAAAGGAAAATGTCAGTAAGCTACCAAAGTGATGTCATATTGAGCTATGAGAGGACCATCAATGCAATACTGTTAGGAAGGGAATAGGCCAAAAATGGATTTCCTAAGCTTTCATGGAAACAATCTTTACATTCATAGCCAGCAGGTATTTGTTACATTATATTTATGTTTTTCACCTCACTTCTACTTTATCTTTTTGTTTACCAGATTTGGGCTGTGGCTAAGCAAGGCTACTTACCGGAAGGTAATTCTTCTCTGTATTTATGCACTGCAAATTATCTTAGATTGGTCACTGGATTTACAAAGACACTAAAAAAAGAAAAAAGAAAACATGAAATTCTGTCCACTGGTTTAAAATCTAAAATCTGTCCATACTACTGGCACTAACAATTATAAGAACCTATGAAAAGAAACTACAAGAACTTTTAGAGTACCATACCAAAAACAACCATAAAAAAATTCTTTTAAATATCTTTATTACACAACATTAAAAAACATGATTATAGTCCAAAAAACCTGAACATGGAGATGCCCCCTAAAAATATATACAATTACATAATATGCCAATAAGAAATTATGCTTGGTGTGAATAGCTCCACAATTTCATGCTATGCCAGTGAATAAATTATACTTTAATATAAACAACTCCAAAGAGTTTTGCAGGGCAAAGCCCGCTTCCTCAGGGAGGTCTGGCATATACTTATGTTTATTCATACTTCACAATGCATAGAAATTCACAGCAATGGAGAGCCACAATCACCACTTGGAAGGAAGAGTAAACCGTTCAATAAATTTGAATATATATGGTATATGGAATTGAATATATATGAATAGAACGGATATAGATCCATCACATGTGGTCCTCAATTTTTTAGTAGTTTCCAAACAGATCTGTGTAGTAGAAGCACATAACATGTTTAATGGTTGTTGTTGGTATGAGACAAAAAAAGGCCTAATAGTTTCTTCTGGTAGGGTTTTAATATTATTATTATACAGTATTTATAAAGCGCCAACAGTTCGCTCAGCGCCGTACATTACAAAATGGGGGACAGAACGTGCGACAGTACAATAACAATACAATGCGATACAGGAGGGGTTCGAGGGCCCTGCTCTTTCGAGCTTACAATCTAGGATGTTTCAATGTCTATTCAATAAAGGATGTTGTACCAGTAAAACCCATTAACAAGACTGAGACTGGTTTATATGGGTTTCCTTCACTGTTACTCCATACCATACTACTGAAAGTTTGATCGAGGAGGCAAAATTCCAATTATATTTTCTGTTGAAAATTGAAAACAAGAAAAATAAGACTGCTTTTCATGAAATTTCCAAAACTTCTTTGATTTTTCGAAAAAATCATTGAAACTGTCAATTTATTGCAGAATTTCAACTTAGCATTTGCCAGAATTCTGGTGGTTAAACCCTTGGTTGCTCAAGGGTAATGGACTACTTAGTTTATGTAAATTGCTTTCCATCATACCTGAGATCCTATGTGGATTGAAAGTGCTTGAAATTGACTACAAATTGCCATATGTATGGCTAGCATTAAACCTTGATATCCAGTTTAAAAGGGGCCTGTCAGGGTAAGCGAAGACGAATGGCTTGATACAAGTGGGTGGTTTAATTAATTTTACAGTTTATTCTTCTGTTTCCTGCACATCAGCACCACAGGCTTCTCACTGTGCAGCAGTGGCTGTATTCTAACTTGGCTGCTGGTGTGAACCAGCTCTTGTGTATTGATTCCACCCATCACAGTCATATATTGAGTAAGACCACATAGCTTAGACCTTCATTTATGATTGATTGCACTCTGCATTCAGGTTTGAACAAGGATGGTACACAGACATGGACATCTAGACCCAGCAGTCCCATGCACAGCGATGAAACAAGAGGCCTAAGACAAAAAGCGTGTCAAACAGATGGTACCTCGGATTCTGGTGGTCATGTTGCTTCAGGAAACCCAACTCATGTCAAACCCAACTGTGAAGAAAACTGCAGGACCTCAATTTCCTTACAAAGACAGCTCAGAGAGATGGAAAAGGTAAGAGGAATAACTAAAGTCAATATAACAGAGAAGACAGTGAAGGATTCACCTGAACAGCCAATATGAAATATAATCAGGCTAAATGGTTCATTTAAAAGAAAATAAGCATTTCACAATGTAAAATGCAGGATCTTGCTTCTAACAAGATCTTGTCTTGCATTTTTAGCTGTCTGTACAAGTGTAACATTCCTGTAATGTCTACCTGGATCCAGCTGTGCTGAACACATAGATCCTATTTGCCACCATGGTAAATAACAATGTATAGTGTTTACATTGATTACACACTATTACTAGGCCGCTACCACCTATTGTGTTTGGTGGCTAGGACACAGGTGGCCATTTAGGGTTGACATCTATTTAAATGTTGGTGGGCGGGAATCAATAAGGTGCATTAACGCTGTATGCATATAAACCTTACACAAACATTTATATGTGTACTCTAAATAATAACACTGAGATATCCAAACTGTTGACCATTCACATCCGTGTGTACTATGTATGTAGGACTTGAAATATGCAAGCAAATGTTATTCTTGTCTGGGGCTTAGTTTCCTCGTACTTCTGCCATTGTACTCACAGTACAACCTCAACAAACTCAGACCCTGTAAAACAATTAACATGGTTTGGATTTAATTTCTCTCTGTTTGTAATTCATATGTGAAATCTATACCTAACATCCTCTGTAACCTTTTCTAAATCCATAAAAAAAAGTGTATTTCAAGTGAAAATTACCACTGAAATTTATAGCTTCAGACACAGTTTTGTCCTATCTTTTTTTTTTTGTTTACCAACAATTTTATTAAGGCAAATAAGAGAATTACAAATAAACGACCGACAATTCTTATAAAATCTTAATGTACAGATAGAAAGGCATGAAGAACTATGATCTCTGTCAGAAAGGGAAAAAGAAAAATGAGGAGATATACAACCACCACCCAATGGTGGCCATATAGCCTTATATTCCAATACAAAGAAATTACAGGAGTGGGTAGAGATTAACAAGTGTATTTTAAAACATCCCAGGAATATTACAGTACATATAATAAAGTGTCCAGCTGATTGTAAGATGACCAGGATTCCCACCTATGCTCAAAAATTTGCATAATGTCCATGACAGTATGATGAACTCTTTCCATTCATTTTATAGTTTCCATGCATTGAAGCACCTGAGACCAGGATACAGAGGGAGATCTCCAAGTAAGGGCAATGGCCCAATGAATGGCGCTGAATAATGTCTTTGCCAATTTTTGGTAGCCGGGGGGGGGGGGGGGGGGGTTGACGGAAGGGTGGGATATCTCCGACAACTCTGCAAAAAATAAACGCATGTGGTTTTATCAGTGATATCTGTACGCCAGTAATCTGAGTTACTTTTACAGCCGCCTGTTGCCTGTTGCCATAATGGCATTCCAGAAATACATCTCAGGTACTGAATAGTAAAATTTAGGGAGTTTAGAAGGGGTGTAATGTCATCTAGTGCAGGGCTGAACAAATATGATTTGAATCTAGGAGCCAGTTAAAAAAAGTTAGGAGGGCAACAGGACAAAATGGGGGCAGCAGACAGGAGGGGGGTAGTGGGATAAGAAGGGGCAGGACAGGAGGAGGAAGTGTCACAGAAGAAAGTCAGTGGGACAGGTGGGGGCAGCATCACAGGAGGGGGGTAGTGGGACAAGTGGGGGGCAGTGTCACATACACCTTGAGAAGCACCAGTCCTCCCAGCTCTCACTTGTCCAGCACCAGATCCTCCAGGTGTCAGTAAAGAGGATCTGATGCCAGGAAGGGTAGCTGAGCCTGTGTCCCATCTTCACCAGAATCTTTGACCTTCTCCTCTTCTTCCTCTTACGCCTCCTCCACGGGGCCCTCTGATGGCACCCCCTGGCCTCACCCACCCCACACAGCCTGGTGCACACTTTCATTCCTGACTGGAGCCTGTCTGACAGTGGTTACTGACCGCACCCTGCACACACCTAGGATCTGCCCCCCACTCCTTCCTCCTCTGCATCCTGGCAGCCAGTCCGCTCTGACAGCAGCTGCCACACATTACAGCCGGCCCTGGCTGGGGTCCGTGGTCCAGGACCCTCGGGGCACCAGGGCCCCCTGCTTGTGTTTGTGCTGTCCCCTCCTGATGGCGGCTTTGCCGGGGGTGGGTGGGTTGGTGGGGGCCCAGGCACTGGAATACGGTTTCTAGTCACCTGGCACCTGGGATTTGTCAAGCCATGTAGTGTGTAGTTTGAATGCGATCTCCTTGATTGCCATAGAGTGTGTGCCATATCTAACACATCCTCTGTAGAGAACTCCCGGCAAGTTTCTGCTTCCAAGCTAGTCATCGCAGAGGGCTTGGCAGGAATACCCTACTCACTAAGGTATTTTCAAGATAGTTGAGATGGTGCCTTTGTCTCTAGAGCTTTGTCCTATATTGAGAACACAGCTGTGTGAATGTCCTTAGCACAGGTTTAGGCATACTGGAGTGTGGCCCTGGCTGACCAACTGCATATACAGTGCAATTTTATTATTTTTTAAAATTTCTCTGTTACAAACTTGTTCACTCATCTTCATATGCATCTGACATATTGATGGTTTGCATTGCAGGAGAAGGACCACTTGTTAATGGAGAATGCTGGATTGCACTGCACCAACTCCCAGCTAGCAGCAGAAAATGCCAAACTGCAGAGTCAGTTAAGTATGTTGCAAGATAAAGTTCGAGCACTGAAGGTGAACACAAAGATGCGACCAGCTGTCAATCAAATACTCGAGACTTTGAAAGAGCTTCACATAAAAGGGGACGGAAACCTGTGACCAGTAGACAGGCTACAACTTAAGGACAATGAAAAAAATATTTAGAATATTTTATTTTTTTTACTGTATATATTAAAGAGATAATTACCTCTGTGGGGTCATCCTCTGTGTACATAGTATGCTATGGCATGCACAGATCACTTAGTAGTATGTTAAGATACAACTAATTTATTTATGTGATTTTTTTTTTACTTGCAAACTACACAATTTTCTTGTCAAATACAAATTCTAAAATGCCTGTATTATTTGCAGTAGATTGTGCAGTAACCCGCAGCAACCCTACAATTACTCCCAGTAATAAAAGGTTATTGCACATGTCTGCTAAGGATTGTGAAGATATTTTTACATTTCTGTTAAATAAAAATAAAATTTGTATTTAACTTCTTGAGGTTCACTATTTTTTTTAAGAATGACTGTAGCCATTAAGAACATTGCTTTATTAGATGTGTTGAAGGAGGGTTTAGGGTGGATTCATACTTTTGCATCTTGTTGAGCTGCGCTTGTATTATGCTAAGACAGCTCATTCATGAAGTCTTCTTTCACACAGGTGTAGCCCCCTGGTCCTGAATTGGGGCTTCCATGTAGTTTTTGGCTGGGTTGTAAGCCTTTCCTTAAGCTCAGTTGGGTTGTGCATTTCTGTCGACAGTAGGTTTCACGGATATCACAGGGCATAGTATGAGATTGCACAAATGTAAAAAGTTGTTGGCTGTTTTTTTTTTGTTCCAGCCAAAGGGGGATATTTGCAATGGACTGCTGCACCACAGTTGCTAACTAAGCAATTAGCTCACGGTTCTGGTGTGGTCTGATTGATTGACTACTACCAGTCCCGGAAGCAGAATGGAACCCCGCCATGCACATAGCATTGGTTCCAAACGTGCACTTGATTTTACCTGTTGGACTTGCATACAAGTCCCGTTCCGGTTGCTATGGGCAATGGAATGCAATGTAGGGAGTGCCGACAACATCTCCCTCGTGGCAAAAGCCAATTCCACCTATAACAGGTACATGCTAACAACAGGCTGTTTGCTGACTGTACCTTCCTTTGCTCATGACAACAACACGTGTATACTTTACATTAAGGTGACTCTTAACATAAATAACTCTTCATACCTGATGTGAAAGTGCCCCAAACTGTGTAATAGTGCCGATTACTTGCACTGCAGTCCCTAAACCTAGCCAGGCTATGTGCTGCCCCATCGTACCTGCACAGGTAGAGTCCATGTGAAGAACGCTCCATTAGTGGTATTCCCCAGTAGCTGGAATTTTTGGGGTGAACCCCAGGTTGGATGGCCTCTCACATTCTTCGGGCTTCTAAGTGGCTGTATCCTTCATGGAACACTGCTGATGGAGCAGCCACAAATCTCTTGGACTCCTATGGGGGAACCAGGGAAAAAGACCTTTGGACTCGGCCCACTGTCCCTTTTTATTTTCACAGGAGCATTGGGTTCAACCCACAGATCCCGCCAAAAAAACTAAAGAACTGGGAAGGCATTAACCCTTACCCTCCCTTCCGGGGCAGCACCTAACTATCTAATTTAAACTTGCCTACATTACATCCCCCTAGACGCTGGCCATCCCGGCAGTGTCCAAAACCCCCAGGGCTTAACTGGCATGCATAAATAAGAAGTACAACAACAACATGATACATAGCAAAGTTCACTAAAACAAGTGCAATAAATGTGGTACTGAGTATATATGGCAGTAGTAAAATATAGAGCACATTAACAGGTTCATACATAAAATTCAGGGTCTGGCTGACTTTCCTGTAATGGGGTGAGTCCCATGAATAGGGTGCATGACTGGGAGACAATTGTCAGGCTTCACAATCTCCACTCGGTCCATATCGATGTCCATCCCTACATTGTGATACTTGTAGAGTTTGTGGAACTCTGCCTCCACATATTAATTCTGCTTGGCAAAGTTCCACATATGTTCAGGAACCAGCATTTTCACCCAAACCGCTGTTTATTAGTTCTTCCTCCAAGTGCAAAAATAGCTGTTCCGGGATAAAGGAAATGTCCTCCCGTATTGGGTGCTTTGCATGTACAGCTGAAGTT